CCAAAACCCCCCCCCCCCCCAAAAACACAGTTTTACATGTATTGTATTTTTACATTTAGATACATGAGAGGCCATGTGACAAAAAATACTGTTTCTGTTCAGGGTTTTCTACGGTGACCATTAGGGGACATGTTCGGTTCACTTAATTTTGTCGTGGCCACGAGATATTAATTAATAGGAATGTGATATTAACTCATGGGAACGTGATATTATGTCGTGGCCACACGATGTGAAGTCGGCCACGACTTCTTATGTTTCTCGTGGCCACTAGTTTAATGCGTAAACAAACCTGCGTGACCATAGCAAGCCGGGATCATCAGAGATGTATTTATTAATATTTTATTTTGAATGAAGAAATTATTATATTCATCATTTTAGAAATTATTACATTATTAAATTATTATATTAACCATAGGCCTTGGCTACTAGACTGTATTGCGCGCGATGTAGACAGCATTCAAATGAAGTTTATCATGAATAAATGCTACATAAAGTACATAAAAAATAGGCCTACAAGAAAACATTTTTATCTATCCCACAAGTCCATTAACCGATTGTCTTTTCCCGTAATATTTGTATATTATTGTTATTATTATTATTAGGCTATTATTATTATTATTATTAGCCTATTGTAACAGCTCCTGAAGGTTTTCTTCTAAGAGAAATGAATGTAGTTGTTCCCCCCATGATATAATAAATACCTAGACGCCTCATTGGCCGCTTTGAGCCGTTGCTGCGATACGTCAACGTGTCCGCCATGTTTGTGCAGGCATGACTGCTTTAAAAACAAATGGAGGTAAACAGGGAGCTGTTTTTTTCTGGATAAAAACACGATAACATTTACATTTATCAGCCGATTTCAGTGGTTTGTGATCTACATGGAGTTAAAAATAACTCTGCCTCCAGTTATTTAGTTAGGCTTGGAAAATTATTAATTTTCGTAAGGAATTGTGAAAGCTCACACTCGTGTTGATTTGGTTGATTTTTTTCTGTTAACAATTCTAATATTAATGTAGTATAACTGATATACCTGTATACATGTAATTTTAATGTACATTAAAATCCAGTCCAGTACATTAAAATCCAGAGATCCAGTCTGGGGATGAACAGGAACAGTTGATCTGAATGGCAGACATGGAGTTCCAGATTTTTTTGTTTGTTCATTTGTTTTTAATATTCAACAGGCAAAGTTCTTCTGTATCTAAATGCAAAAATGTTCATAATTGTTATGAATAAAACAGACTACTGGGGGAAAAAAATCTGAATATTTATCTTGTGACCATCTTGTGACTATTTTAACAAAAGCAACAATAATAAAATTATTGTAATATATATATATATATACATATCAGTGGCCCTTGGCTTGGTATTGTTGGCAGAATTCGGCCCTCGGTAAAAACGAATTGAGGAACCCTGGCCTACACTAATAGGTACATATTAGTACCTTATAGTAATTCGTACACATAAGGTACTAATATTTACCTATTATGGGTAAAAAAAGGCAAAAAGACGTCCTTTTTAAGGGTACTGCTCCAGTGACAAGCTGTTGTATCCCAAGAGGTACAAAGTTTGGCCCCTTTTTTCTGTGTGGCCTGGATGAGTGTGAGATTTCCCGGCCTGAAATTGCGTCCCAGGCCGGTCCTGATAGATAGATAAATAGATAGTAAGAAAAATAACTATATTTGCAGCATTGTTGTTTTCTGCTGTGTTTTAGTGAAAGTAATCTATAATTTTGCTGCTCATCGTGTTTCTGTTGTTGTTAAAATAACCGCGTCATCTGCGGGCGTCCGGAGAGAGAGAGAGAAAGCGCACAGAGCTGAAGGGCTTGAATAAAGCACGTTTGGCTTTAGATAAAAATACTAGAGGATATTGCGCTGAAAGATATAAGACCCTGAGTGCTTGTTATGTGATCCGCTCCGCTGTTTTGACGCGCTGCTCACTTAAAATGGTGCTGTGTTACAGCTCGCGGTCCGGATGGGGTCCACCTTTTGAATATCAGTTATATAAGTATTGAAGGATAAAAGACTTGAGTTGCTTTTAAAATATTCACACGAGTCCTTTTCCTCGAGTCGAGTCAAATCTGGAGTCATTTCAGGTCGAGTCCGAGTCTGAAGTCTATAAAAATGTCATCGTTTAAATTACTTTATGAAATTAATCTCACCTGAATGAACCAAAGGTACGTAAATGAAGAAAATGAAGAAGTTCATTGCAGATGAAAATCCATGAATTTGACACACTTCTTTGTGTAGTCGTCGAAGAGCGTTGCTAAAACTCTTTAGCATTTGCCACACCTGAATCGAAAGGAAAAACATGAACCAAAGGTTACTGAGCAAGTTACGTCAACTTGTGAGTAAAAGGTTCCGCCCTAAACTTCCGTATTAAGACTGTTTACCCAGAGATGCGATAACATGTTCTGCGGCTGTGCTCAGTAACTGGTTTTTCCTTTCGATTCAGGTGTGGCTAATGCTAAAGAGTTTTAGCAACGCTCTTCGACGACTACACAAAGAATTATCAACTTCATGGATTTTCATCTGTAGGCTAATGAAGTTAATCATTTTCTTCATCTACATACCTTTTGTTTACTCAGGTGAGATTCATTTCGTAAAGTCATTTAAATGATGAATTCTCTGTCAGCAAGGCCTTCAGACAGAAAATCATGAGATGTTTAATGATATTTAATTCTTTCTCAAAAATCTTTTTTAATAGCCAGGCTAACATAACCAGTTAACAGATTTAGTGCTTACTGATCCTTTGTTGGCTAAACAAAGGAGGATTTTGTTTTGTTGAAGCTGTACTGAAATGTTTTCAGTATTTTCCAATGATGTGTATTTTTGTGGTTGCGGTGTGCTATTGGTGGATCTCATGTGAGTGACAGGTTGCTCCACCATCATGAGAGAAGAGATGAGATGTCACTGCAAGAGGGAGTCATTTTGATTCAAGATTACGTGGAACATTAATATATATATTTACAAAAAAAAGATAATTTATAATAAATACTGCATTATTCCATACAATTGAATTTTATTTTCATGGTTACTTTAAAAGAAAAAAAACTGAATGACTTGTCTTAGTTGGTGTAAAAAAAAATAATTTGATTTCACTCTGTTTAAGAGCTTTATGGTGTTGTGTTTTTGTGATGTTGTTTGTTAAATATTTTTTCAGCATCACATACCCTCATGACTACTTACAAAGGACTAAATGGACAGGTGGTTGCAGGAACACCAGAGTTTTCCACTGTAACTACACTGGATGAACAAGAGATTGATTATTATGACAGTGAGACAGGGAAGCTGATTCCCAGACAGGACTGGATGAAGGAGTTTGCATCTGGAGACAGATGGAAACAATACACTGAAATCAGAGAACGAGTACAGCAGATCAACAAAATCAACATTACTGTTCTAATGGAGCAATTCAGCCAGTCACATGGTGAGTTAAAATGCTTTACTACATGGCTCTCAGAAATGCTTGATTTTGATTGGCCAGTCTTAATATTCTGAGGTCTGTTATTCGCAATAATGTCCGTCATCAATAGCAACGGTGTATAATGACACTTCTCTTTAATGTCTCTATGATCACGATGCGGATAGATGTGCTCGCTCTCATTTCATTCAAACACAGCCTCAGTTATCGACTATATTTACTGCAAAATAAAACCAGAGGACTATGGTAATATTATTGAAGTGTTCGTCTTGTTGCTAGTTTTGTACGCTGTTACGAATTACAAGATAATAAACAGGTAAGATTTTAAAATGGTTTTCATGTGTTTGTTATTTATGTGGTGAAAAGCTGTATAATAAGTGATATACCTATATTATCCCTTAGTTATCCAACTTGTTCTTTCGTCTAGTCTCATTGCTGCTTGCTAGGAACAGGCTTCTTCAGGGAAGCTTTTCGTGTAATGAGCTAATAAAATGTTTAAACTCATATCAATATTTCATGTGTAAATATTAACTTATGTGGCATGTAGCCATCTGATAAGCAGGAGTGTGTGTATCCAGCCAATTATCACAAAATAAGCCCTGATAGGGTGATCAGGAGGAGTGTTGTATCACCCTGAAAGGGTTTATTTGTACATTATCCCTAACGTCTATTTATAAACACCAAAGGGTGATCTTGTACATAAAAAAAAGAAAGAAAGATAGTATCCCTTTATCTCTCTCTCTCGTTCAGGTGTTCATATGTATAAGAGGAAGTATGGATGTGTTTGGGATGATGAGACTGGAGTCACAGATGGGCTTGATGAGTACAGTTATGATGGACAACATTTCATCTCACTGGACCTGAAGGAGGGCAGATACACTGCACATGTACCGCAAGCAGAACCCACTGTGCTGAAGTGGAAAAATTACAGAAGCAATACTACATTTGATTTTCTGAAGCAATACTACAAACATGAGTGCATTGACTGGCTGAAAGAGTTCTTACATTTTTCTAGAGCTACATTTAAGAAAACAGATATAGTCGCAGAGTTACCAGGGAAGAGTTTGACTGAGCCAACCGAGAATCAGACTGACAGTATCAGTAAGTTGAAACCTGGTTCATTTTTCTCCATGTACTTTTTTATTTTATTTTAGGGGCCAAACACATGAGAACGCCTTTTTTGTTGTTGTGTTTAGGTTTGTTCTGCCGTATTACTGATTGTGTATTGTGTACATGTTTCTCTGTTCTAGAACCTGTATCATGTGGTTTAGTTATTTTGATCCTAGTTATCGCTATACTGATTACACTACAACGGAGAAAGAACTTGAACAAACGTGGTAAGTACTAACGACCTGTTGTGAGATATAATTCCCATGATAAGTGCAAATGTTTTTACATGTGTTTCTATGTGTGGCAGTACAATGAAGAAGAGAGAATGTTAACCTTTTTTTTAAGTCTCTAAAATGATCAAATTATAAGAATTCTGTTTGTGGTCTGTATAAAATATGTGAAACTCATGATAATGTTCTTTACATTTCATTAAACCATGTTATACCTCTGTTTATCTCTCTTCACAGGCAAAGATGAGCATATATATAGCAAAACGTATCCTTCATCCAATTCCTCTGACGAACCTGCATCTCCAGATAATCTTGAGAAGCCCCTCATTGTATCTTCAGGGTGATGCACAAAATTACTTTCTAGAACCTTAAGCTTCACAGTTCCTCACCAGTGAAAGGATCTTCACAGCCCTACCCAAGAACTGAGTCCTTTTATAAATTTCTGGAAACATCTAAAGACTTTAAAAGTCTCTTTTCCACAAGCATTCAGCTATACTGTACAAACTTAAAATAATCCTCTTTATACTTTACCATTTTCTTTTATCTCTAATCTTGAGATTTTAGCATTTCTTTTATAATGAACCACTTTAGCCTCTTTTCCACCACCAGGCCAAACCGCTGTCTTCAATAAATCATTCCATTCCATGCTAATCTGGTCCAGCTGGTATGTATATGGTTTCATTTTCCACTGTGCCAAGCTCAAGAGGAAATATAACCATAACCATTTCTTACCATTCTTCGAACCGACAGAGGAAAGGCGGCTTTTGTTGTATTCCTCATTTGTTGCACTGAATTTTGTTAAATGAGAAAAAAAAAAAAGTAAATGTTTTCTTAATGATATTTGACTTAATGATATTATTTTATATTACTGATTTTATTATGGATTTGTATATATAAAAAAAAAAAAAAAGCATTCTGTAGAAAACAAAGTCCTACAATCTTTATTACAACCAATGGGCCTCATTCATGAAACATTCGTAAACATAGGAGTAAATTCTGAGTAATTTGCGCGCATGTTTTGCGCAGCTTGTCAGTGAACAACGGCTCTGTGTAGTAAATGCTACTCCATGTGAAAGCACGCACATGATTGAGATTTACCGCTGATTATAGAACCGGCTTTACTAAAAAGATGGGCATTAAATATCGCATGCGATTTATCGTGCAGCCCTAAACAAAGGGAAAACATCAACATCTAATGTCATTGGGCCTCATTCATGAAACATTCGTAAATATAGGAGTAAATTCTGAGTAATTTGCGCGTAAAACGGACCTTCCCGAAAACTCCTCCGAATTCACAAACACTTCGTACAAATGAGATTTGATAGTTAAACGTGTATGTTAACAAATTCCAATCATTCGTAAATAGGGCGCACGTGCACGCTCATTCACAATTAGCATAAGCCCTGCCTATGAATTACAGCTACGTAAATTGCGTGTCCAGGAACGCAGTGGAATATTCTGGTCTACTTTCTCAGATTTGGC